TAAATATATCCAGAACTGTATTTAAATTCTGGATTAATACTTCCTCTCTGCCTAAGCCAGCTGTTTGGTGCCCCTTTTTGCCTACTCTATTAGACTGGCTAGCCTTAGTATCACACAAACAAGATCAGACATCATAGCTACACAAGATACACCATAACTGGAGGCGGATAGGCTATAAGACGAAGTTTGCATATTCTGCATCAGAAGTGGTGAACTGGTGGGGACCTAGCTGCCACTAGACTGGCTGGGACAGTGGTAGTCTGGAACAAGGCCGTAGCGGGGGCGAGGCGACTGAGGCTCTCATCTCGGGTGCAGGTGCTAGGAGGGTGCAGCCATCAGGGAGAAGTGGGGCGGCACAGCTCTGCACGGAGAATCGGTACATGTCACTGATATGTACCGATACTCCACCGCTCGGCCACGCACAGAGCTCAGCCTGCAGCTTTTCCTCTGGATGCCCGCTGTTCTCCCCCATCTGTATGCAGCGGGGATCCGAGGAGAAGTGAAGGAAGCACTGCAGCCAAGGGGGGGAGGCACAGGAGGGAGCCGCTGTCACAGCAACATGGCCAAGCAGTGAGGAGAGAGAGAGCCGCTCGGCCAGGATCTGACCGCCGGCGGCTCTCTCTCTCCTCACCGCTCGACCATGCTGCTGTGACAGTGGCTCCCTCCTCCACCTCTCCCCCTCACCCCGCTGGCTGAAGTGCTTCACTTCTTCTCGAATCCCCGCTGCATACTGGTGGGGAAGAGCAGCTGGGATCAAGAGGAAAAGCTGCAGGCTGAGCTCTGTGCATGGCCAAGCGGTGGAGGATACACATCAGTGATATGTACCGATCCTCTGTTCAGAGCAAACGCTGGAGCGATCAGTTGATCACTCCAGTGTTTGTAAATAACTGGGGACACAGTACTATGTGTCCCCAGTTATGAATGAACAGGAAGTGCTTTACATCACTTCCTGTTCATTCATGACTTTCTCAATGGGTAGTAGCACTCTGTACAGGGGCTTCTCCCCATTCAGTAAACTGGATGATAGTAAATGTTTTCTGAATGAATGGGAAGCCTATGTACTTTCCATTCATTTAGAATAGATGCTGAAGAAAAAGAGATTGAGGACGCTGTCCTCAATTTCTTTTTCTATTTTAAAAGGGAAATATCAGGGGGCTGTTTAGACCCCAAATATTTCCCCGATGCACCCCCAACAGTAAAAAGATTAAAATTAAAAAAATTAAAAACAAATACAAAATAATTTAAAAAATACATCGTGACATCATATAACACCACGTGTGCGTGGAGCTGGGTGATGTCACATGCCTGTTGGGGGGGCACTTTTTTTGTTCTTGCCTCGGGTGCAAAAGGAGCTAGCTACAGCTCTGGTCTGGAACTTTTTGCTATACATCGAAATGCATTCCTAATCACCAATAACATGAAACATAGTTTGGATGAACTGATTTTTTAACTCTGCCACCCTAGGTCTTGGCCTATGTTGGCTATGAAGAATTTCAGCTCTATCTGTACAGCACTTTAAATTGATCTGCTAGCATGTTTTAACAATCTGTAGCCTATTAAATGTATCATTATTGTAATACTTTATGAACTTGTCAAAACCTGCTCCAGATATTTTGACCGAATAATGTTACATCTACAGTATATATATCAATGAAATAATGTACAATCTTGTATGCTATATTGTTGATTTAAAAAAATATATTATTTTAACACTTTTTGGTATGCTTTTTCTTAATACAATACATGTGTATTATCCATTAGATAGAGATGCAGATTGTATGATTTTAAGTCAGAATGGCATCAGGATTGCAGATGAACAGAACATAAAATATACCCCGGAAAAATAAAAAAAAAGGACATGCAGATGATAGTTTAAGTCTAAAGTGAAACCTTGTTCCAGGTCTGGAACTTAAAAAGTTTAGGACTTATAAATAGCAGTTTGAGAAGGAGATTGGCACTGGGACCCTGTATTTCTCCCATGTCTGTTGTCCTTTTAGATGACATAGAGCATTATTTACAGACAGTATGGGTCTTTATTTTCATAAATCAAAATCATACTGCAAGGTCCTTTTTATGGAATGCCTAATGACAATTTTTCTTACCTGGCATAATCCACTAATGCACATATCCAAGGATTCTGTGTAACATCGAGTACCATCTAGAACTTTAGGAGCAAGTTCTACAACAAGAGAAGTCCCCTTTGCTTGGCACTTTAAAGAACATGGGTTCTCGGGATCATTATAAACTGGAAGCCATTCCCTGTACTGTCCTTGGTACTTGACATCATTGTGAGCTGAACACTGTTGGGCCCGAAAATCTCCCGAATCTGCTGGACAATCCTATTAGTAAGAAAGAAATTAAAATGGTTATTCTGGGTAAATAAATGAAAACCTGTGAACATACATAAATCAGTTGTTAAATGGGATCACAATGCCATACTTTTTTTTGATTAATCATTTAGCAGCAAATCTGGGAACTTGGCTGAAAAATTGGGCTGCTAGATCTCTGCATGCCTATAGTCAATTCTAAAAGATCAGCCAATTTTCTGCCTGACCCAAAAAGGATAATATAAGTAAGCAGGAGCTAATCGTGTACAAGGTTATCAAATTACTGGATTTAGCTGAGATTGCTTTGTCTTCCCTATACAAGTGCCCACTGTACTATAGAACTGTAAAACAATTTCCTTCAATAATTTGTATCCTGCAACAATCACCCACTGTGTAAAGTCATCATTGACTAAATCTCAACTCACACTTACTGAACCAATTTGTGAGAAGTTGTTTAAAATTTCAAGGCAAGGTTGCAACGACAGATATAAAAAGCAGGGCTCAACATAGTTGCCAGGGTCCAGAAGATGCTGCAACCATTTTAACTGAATCTATTGTACCCTTAGAAGACACACACCTTGGTAATCCACTGCAGGAACCAATTTTTGTGTTTCTCGCACACAACAAAATGCGCAATTTTTTATTTAGATAGAACACTCTTAAATCCAAAAAGATTTTTTTTTCTGAAAGCAAAGGACCCATACAATGAATGCAACTATTTTACTGTATTGACCCCAAATATGTCAGGGCCTAAACCATGAAGCCACAAATTATCCAAAGGCAATATTTATAAAAATCCTGTACAGCTCATTTACTTTAAAATGCACTTCAGAAGTATTCCTTTTTCTATGGTGTGCATGGCTATACCTGATATGTGTCCCACAATCATAGTTACTCATGTGTGCTGCATGCATGCATTTGTGTGCATAAGTGCATGTATGCAGGGGGGCAAAACTTTTAATTTTGATTTTTCTAAACTAATTATTGCTATTACAACCGGGCTGACAAACTATCGTCATAGGAGCATGATTGGAGAGGAAGTGCAGGCAAAGTAAGCATCAGGGGTTCAAGAAGGAAGGTGGAATTTACAAAGACACGATCACTTTACCCTTAATGGCCATGTAATGTGACAATGCCTTTTTAAGTGTAATAAGTATGTAGATTAGCGGCTTTGAGCAAACTCTGTGGGAGACTGCTACCTCCGGGTCTGTCACTCAAAAAACTACAACCAGGTACCTAGCATTTTTAGAAAAAGATTATGAACGGTAGGCTACATAATTTTCTTAGTGTAGATTTCCTTTAAGGTATTTGTTGTCCTGCTTTTTTTTATATATTTCACTATGCCTATTAAAAGGCAATCAAAACACTCAAGCATGACATTGTAACCTCAGCAGAGTTGTATATTTATGGAATAAATCAGACCATCAAAAAAGCAGCAGACATAGCAAGTCACATTATAGAACAGAGCGATTGGGAAACAGATCACAGACAATGATGCAGTGAAGCATTTTGAAATATCATTATTGCTCTCAGCTTCGGACAAACCTGTCCAAGCGCTCTCTCTGTGGAATATACGGTACATCATAGATGACTTCACATATATGTATAAATCTGCTCTCTTCTACTATGATGCGTTTAGCTTCAGTCCCAAAAGAAGAGCAGATCAATTTCTTTCCATCTGGAGCAATGGCTTGACTGTTTCATAGTAATCAGAAGCACTGCCCAAAAACCTGATTTATTCAATGTATGTGGGTGGGAAACATCAGCAAGTCAGACATCTGCAGTTCACACACTTAGGTATTTTATCCTTCAGGTGCAGAGAAAAGCACGACTAAATAATGACTGTTTATTCCTCATATTCAATGTCTGTCTTGGGAAAATGGCAAAGCAACTGAAAGAAGTACAACTACAGCACATGCTGTATAAAATAATTGGTGGACAACATGTCAGATTGTAGAATCCCTTCGTATAGATCGTCTTCTCAAGAGGGCTATAGTTTTGATTTTTTTCCATGCTGCGAAATATACAGTACCTCGGATAGTAGATGATAGAAAAAATCAATTCAAAATGAGGGAAAACTACTCTTTACATGGGCAGCAGGCTCCACCGCCTCTCTGAACATCAAATTGTTGTGGACTGCTTCTAGAGAGTGGTAGAGTAGCAGCTTCCAAGTGCTCAGAAGGTGATACTGCAGCTTCTGAAAACCTTTTTTCCATTTTTTATATCCCAATGGGATTTTATATTACATTACTGCACCACAACCACATATCTACGTGGTTGCAGTGCTGTCCCATTGATTGCAATGGTTGTGTTTGGCAAGCAGTACCACCTCTCAAATGTGAGATGCTGTTTAAAATGTAGAAATCAAAAGTTCTTGCTGCACTCCTTACCGGAGTCAAAGAAAGACCCGTGTGAACGTGTGGGTGCTTGTTGTGGCCACGGATGGTGCCGTGAAGAAACACGATAGAAAATAACGTCACCAGCACTCCAAGGGTTAATTAAGCCATAGTCAATTTGATGAAGGGGACCCTTAGAGGCCCCGAAAGCGCTTGCAGTTGAATGGCAATGTGCCAATAAATTGATTATTGCTTCATTAACTCTTGGAGTGCTGGTGACGTTACAGGACTGGTGACGATAATTTTACACAGATGCGGCATGTGTACACGCCTCAGCTGCCGCTATTTTACAAAAATGTTTTGACTTTAGATAAACTTTTAGGGCCCGGTTACACCCGATGCATTCGGGCTGCGCTGGCCTTTTTTCCAGCAATTTTTGTGATATTATGACTATTCGTCAATAAAAATGAATTGTTTAAGGATTTTTGGTGTGCTGGTAAATCATCTTCTCCTTGTTTTACATTAGGCCACAAAAAGGAAGATGGGGGGCTATACTGTATCACCATCTGATATGCTAAGTGCTCTTTAATAGTTTATCTTTTAAAGCCCCATTCCAGGCAAAATATGAC